TGTGCTTGATCAGTCTTTTTATGAGCAATCATCACTAAACATTGGACAGATGAAATTTCTTGCGAATAACAATCAAGTCGTCCGAAGTAATTGATGATGAAACATCATCAATTAATGTCAATCTCCTACTCTCATCGACCTCTATAGTCTGAGGAGCTCGCACCGGCTCAACCACTTCATGAGTAGAAGGAACAACATCTAGCATATCTAATTAACTACTGACTGAAAGGGCATACATAAATGAAGAGATAATATTTGAAGATTAATACGACAAGAATATGAAAGAAATGAGAGAAAAATAATACACATGGAATATCGTCTTTGTTCTTTAAAACTCACCGCCTATCGAATAAATTAGAACCACTATTTTGGGTACTATTCAAGGCACGCTCATCTTTAGCTGACAATATTCGCCTCCCAACAAGATAAAACTACAGTCATCAGATCTTGATCGCCTCCGACGTCAATTTTTAGACTCTTGTCGAACATTTTTCCACCACTAGGAGTTAACTGGACCATGTGTAAGAGTGTCGGGCTTTGATCGCCGCCACTGATATTTAAACTCTTGCCGGACAGTTTTTCCTCCAATAGGAGTGAACTGGAATCTAAGTAAGAGTATCGGGCCTTGATCGCCACTTCCAGCATTCATGGGCGGATCCCCATTTGATTGAGGGGGGGGGGGGGGGGCAAATGCCCACCCTAAAAAAAAAATTTAAAAAATTTTAAAGGGAATGTTTTGGAATAATTTGAGTATTTTGGATATTTTGCCCCCTCTCAAAAAACATTATTGCCCTAATTTTATTAATCCTAAGCATCTTTGTCCATCCCCACCAAAAAATTTTTTTTGTCCACCCTAAAAAAAGAAGCTAGATCCGCCCCTGCCAGCATTTAAACTATTGTAGGACAGTTTTTCCCCACTCGAAGTGAACTGTAGTCTGCGTAAGAGTACCAGATCTTGATCACAACAGCAAAAATTTTTAAATATTTTTTAGTCTGATTTCTCTTAAAATTATAGGAGAAATTTTTGGACCAGTTAAGAGTAGTACCTCATCCTTAACCCCTAATGGTGTATTTATAATTTTTTAAAGGATGTTTGGTAAGAAATTCTTTTAATTTTTAAATAATTTTGAAAATTTTTTATATTAAATAACAATAATATTATATAATAGTTATAAATTATATTATTAATCTAAAGCTATAAAATAGTTATAAATTATCATTAATCTAAAGTTATACAATAGCAATTATCTTGATCAGGCACGAATCTCAAGGCAAAATCAAGTTGGAAACTTCTGAAATTAAAATTGGAATCATCCGAACTCTGTTTAATTGATCGTCAAAAAAATATGAACCCAACAACACCAAATTTGACTCAATCCAAGCTCAAATGGGTCCAAATCAAATGCTCGAAACGCTTTTGCAAGATTCAAACTACAATTTGGATTACCAAACGGTTTGCAAACATAACGTGCTTATAGTCGAATCGAGCAACTCGACGAGACGAATCCTACGAGCCCAAGATCATCAAATTCTAATATTATTAAGGCCTATGTGCACAGACACGACACAACGACACAGATACAACACGACACGGACACGAGACACGTCAGTTATTGAAAATATAGGACACGAACACGGGTTGGACACGATATTATGGTTTTTATATTTAAAAAATAGTGTATAAAAACTAAATAAGTATAATTTTAAAAATAATTTAAAAATAATAAGTCATTTAACTAGAATTTGTGCTTAAAATGATTAGTATTAGGATGTCGAGAGTCAGACGTCGATGCTGTTTATCAGTCATCAAGAGAGGAGATGAAAATACATTCACTGCCAAAAAGAAATGAAAATGAGAATATTTGATGATTGTGTATTAAGTACGGACGTTAATTTGGTATTGTGGATAGGAAATAAGAAATTTAGTTTAAATCCCACCAAATACAAGAAATTATATTTTAAAAAATTCATAAAATATTTAAGATACGCGTGTCGGACACGCATGTCTAATTTGTATTTAATATTTTTAATCGGACACATTTTTTGTGTGTCCAACACGTGTCGGAAGAGTGTCGGACAAGTGTCGTGTCAGATACGGTATCGGACACTGCACACCTCTTTGAGGAGAAGTGTCGGTGCATCATATATTAAGGCATTCAAATGTATGATAAACGCTCTAAGATCGGGGAATCAATATGGGCCATCAGATGAAGCACTCCAAACATATCTCAGATCTTCTATATATTTACGGTGTATAACACTCATGAAAATTTATAAATAAACCCCTAATTTCTACATTAGGGAGACTTTTGGCTAGAGATTGGAGAGAGGTCTGAAGCTTCAAAAGCTCCAACACCACTGCCGCCGGACATTAGCCCGATCATCGTCGGACCACTGCCTGGCCGCTAACCGCCACCAAACTTAAGCCCGACCATCGTCGACCACCGCTCGACCACCGCTCGACCACCGACAACCGTCGGGCCATCCCCGGGCCGCCTCCAGACTTCATCCCGACCTTCGTCAGATCACTGCCGACCGCCTCTGGACTTCCACCTAGCAGCCGAGCGTCGTCAGACTTCTGCCCAACCTTTGTCGAATCATTTCCCGTCAGTTGAACTTCGGCCCAGACGCCAACAGACTTCCACTCGACCGTCACCAGACCTTTGCCTGACTCTCCAAACTACTATAATTTAATCGCCTCTAAGTCAAGGGATGAGTCAACATTTGTAATTCACTCAAATTTAGTGGAATCTTTTCACCTCGGTGAGACCCCGTGATTTTTCCCTCTTTGGGCTTTCCACATAAAAAAAGATTGAGTGTTTTACTTCTCTCTTTCTATTTGTGTATTGGTTATCCTTGCATTGATCAGACAAAAAGTTTAATCACTCTGCTGCCGCAACAATTTGGCGCCGTCTGCGGGAAAGGATTCCTGGCTACGGGGCAAACTGATGTAATTTTCTATCGCCCCTCAGGTATCAACCAATGGTGCATCAACGTCATTGGAATCAAATGAAGACAGGGGGGCAATCTTGACTGCAACCGTGGGCAAAAAAATTCCTCCAAATCTTCTGACATCCACGATATTATTTTTGAAATTTATTTTTCATAAAACTTCTAACAAATGCAATGATGCTTCTAATAAATTGCAAGCTGTTTACAGTCTCTAGCTGGACTTCTCTTCATTGGGCAAAGTCATAATCTCGACCTCAAGAAAGACAATAATATTCCAAAGATAGACCATTCTTTACCTTTAATTCGGGATACATGTGGCATTTTCCCCCTCCCGATCAAGGCATAATCAATCATAGGGGAATTTGATTCGACCTCTTCCACACAGATTAGCATCATCAAGAAACAATTTCACAAACATCCTCAAATAGGTCATACATCCTTGGTGGATTCTCTCGATCTCTTCCACACAGGTTAACATCAACGAACAACGCTCCAACAAACAACCTCGGATAGATCATACACCCTTGATAGATTCTCTCGACCTCTTACACGCATGTTAACGTCATCAATCAACACTCTAACAAACAACCTCGAATAGGTCATACATCCTAGCTAGTTTCTTTCGGCCTCTTCCACACATTAGCGGCACTGAGCAATGCTCAGACAAATAACCTTGGATATGCCATACATCATCTTTGATGGATCCATCGACCTCTTCCCCTAAAACATTTCTAAACATCTTTCTCAATTCTTTTAAAGAAGGATTGGATCCCCGACAGGCCTCCATATTGGCATCATTAGTGTGCCCTTAGATGGTTGTAGTTGACACAATGTTTGACCAATCAAATTTCTAGTTATATGCGCCCGTCAGCATACATGTATACTATCTCCAACAGAATACTGCTCAATCTTTATCATCAACTCATGGCTTGACCATCAACCATCAGCGAAAGTCTGCTAGATCATCATTGGACCAACGCCTGGATGCTAAGTGACACTGAACTTCCACTTAGTCGCCAAATATTCTTAGACTTTTACATGTTTGTTTAATACCATCGAATTTCTTCTCAGGCATTGCTACTGCCAAATCCCTCCTCTAAGGAGGCCACCATCGGGTCATTTCTAACTTTTGCAAGAAAGCAAAATTTTTATTGCAATCAATACCCTCAGAGTTACCAATCCACAGAAGGACCGACACAAGAGGGCAAGACTTTGATCACCGCTCGGCCGCCGCCCGCCGGACTTCCACCCGGCCACTGACCGCCTCCGAACTTCAATCTGACCTTCATCAGATCACTGTCAATCGCCTTTGGACTTCCACCTAGTAGTCGAGCGTCGTAGGACTTCTGCCCGACCTTTGTCGGATCATTCCCGATCAGCTGACCTTTGTCCCGGACGCTGTCAGACTTCCGCCCAACCATCGCCAGACCTTTGCCTAAATCTCCAAACTACTGTAATTTGACTACCTCTAAGTTAATGGATGAGTCAACATTTATAATTCACTCAAATTTAGTAGAATCTTTTCACCTGGGCTAGGCCCCGTGATTTTTACCTCTTCGCCTTCGGGCTTTCCACGTAAAATATCGGGTGTTTTACTTCTCTATTTATGTTTGCATGCTGAATATACGTGCATTGCTAAAACGAAAAGTTTAATCACTCTACCGCCGCGAATATCCTGGCCCGCAACAATTATTATTAAAAAAATGAATATCATAAATAATAAATATGTTTACTCAATATCTAAATATAAATATTGGCTCGATTCAACAGCAAGTATTCATATTTAAATTTTCAGTAATAAAACTCGTTATTTTAATAATGACATTCAAAATATTAATAATTAAATTTAAAATAGTAGTACTAACAATCAAATAAATAGTTTAAAGCACCGTAATTCAAAATTTCAAGATGACCACAGCCAACTCATTAGCATCTTCCTACGCCACTAAACGGAAATCGAGAGAAAACCTAACCAAAAAAATAGGAACCGTAGTTGCCATGCATATCGATGAGACAATGACCATCAAGGACAGATCGAAGACACTTGCCTGCTCCTACAAAGCTCAACCACAACGTTATCAGGGCTCAAAGCCCTGATTACGCGCTCAACGTCCATCACGGACTTTTGCGAGACGTGGGAAGTTCCGACAAGCCAGATTGCCTCCGGCTCCACGAACTCCCTTCTCCATTCGGGGACCGGTCCAAATCGCCTCTTCTCGACAATCACCAGCCTCCCGTCATTCACGAGATCCATCAGCTCCGGGTGCTCCGCCGCCACCGCCTTCCGAGACTCTTCCGCCAGCTCCGTGCGGTAATCGAAGCCAAGTGGTGGGGAACGGATCGAGATCTGAGCCTTTATCTCCGAAGTAAATCGATTGATCCGAGATAAGCCGAGGAGGATCGGCGGCAGTCGATGATTTGAGCCGGAGAATGGAATAGGGAATGAGACGGTTAGGGTTTTCATCGTTGATCTTTCTCCACGGTTCCACGGCCAAAGACGGAAGGATGTGGTGGCCAATGAAAGCTGGAGAGTTATGTTGGATTCGAGGTCGAGGACATGGTGACCTTGTACCTTCTCATCCGCCGCTTCCAGTGAAAAGCAAATCTCCACGTAGGGAAATCAAGGTCCTGGATGACTACTGGAACGAGAAAGCGATGCGTTTGGTAGTAAAAAGAACTTCTAAAAATAGAATTTTAAAAACTAAATAAAAAATATAAACCATCTCAAATTGGATAAATTTTTAAAATAATTACCGTTAAAAATTTAATTAACTATTAAGCCAATAAAAAAAATAAATCCGTATCAGAGCATGGCTAGCATGCTTTGTCTTTGCTAGATTGCATCCTAGGAATCCACTTTAAGTTATCCCTAGAAGTTTGCATACATATCATCTTTTAGGTAAGTTTATTTACTGTTTTCCTACTGCTGTCCTGACAAATCTGCATCAATTACTTCATCTTACCTTAGTATATTCATTTGTTTAAGTGCTGCCATTTCCACTTTTACATCCATAATAGTCTAGGCCACTTAGACACTTGCTGTCCACTATTTTTCTGCACTTAGTTTAGCCCTTAGAGTGAGTTCTAGGTAGTGTTAAGTTGTTGTCCACTGTTTCCTGCAGCTGTTAAGCATCCATTAGTGAGCCTAAAGTCACTGCTTAGGTGCTGCACTTGCTTTAGGATCCCTCCCACACCTCTGGACACCAGTAACACTTGCTGAACTCTACTGTCCTAGTCATTCCAGCAACTTTTGAGTACCTTTGGGACTTTTTTCCAACCTGGTTAGCTGCTGCCCTTGACTTAGAAAGTCTCACTAGTCACCCCAAGCACCCAATCATAGATCCCACACATATGCAAGCGACCCTAGACATGATTGTAGGCCAGTTGGGCACTATGACACAACAAATTAGAGACACCCAAACGAGTGTAGCGAAGCTTAAGCGTCATACGGGGGAAAGACCAGACAACATCGAAAGGGCAGGACACTCGACCATCTATACCCCATCTAGACCCCAATCACCTTATGACGAAGATGCCCGAACTGAGTACGGACCCCCTAGAGACTACTACCGACCCAATCAAGAACCGGTAGGATGTGACACACCTTGGAGGGACAACGATACCCAACTCCTTAAGAGTATTAAGATTGATGCCCCGACGTTTGACGGTACGTTAGAACCCCAAGTTTTTCTTGATTGGATTAAAGGGATGGACAGTTACTTCAAATGGTATAACATTTCGGAAGAGAAGAAAGTTAGATTTGCTGAGATGAAATTGACTGGTAGAGCCAACCAGTACTGGACTAACATAGAACACATGAGGGAGACTCGAGGAGAATACCCTATCGCTGACTGGGGAACAATGAAACAAGAATTGAAAAGGAAATATATTCCCCCCTCATACTACCCTAGACTTTTAGACCGTTGGAATAGGTTAACCCAAGGAAGTAAAACCGTTAAGGAATATATTTCAACATTTGATGATTTCTTGATTCGTTGTAATGGGGAAGAGACCACCACTCCTACACAACTTCTGTCAATGTTCAGAGCTGGATTGAGGGAAGACCTTAGGAATGAACTGTTTGCTAGAGGAGTGAATACTTTTGAAGCTGCCTGTAGTCTTGTCCTAGACTTAGAAGAATCTAGGAGCCATGCCTCTAGGAATCAAGAGTCTCGACCCAACCCTTTCAAATCATCATCTAACCAACCTTACAATAATCCCACGGGACCCTCGAGTAGTCGGCATTCCCCTGGCCAAGCCCAACCTAGAACGGACTATAAAGGGAAAACACCTGAACGGGAAACACCCAAAACCACTGCCGGCACTAAGTGTTTTAGATGTCATGGGTATGGACATATTGCCTCTCAATGCTCCAGCCCGTTTAAGGTCACTATAATTGAAGAAGTGACAGAAGAAGAGGATGAACCTGAAGCTGACTTAGTCCACCATATGGACGACGATGAAGAATTTTTCGACGAGGAGGATACTGTTGTGGTCCACTACCTCCAAAAGATGAATCGCCTGGATCTGCAAGTCGTCAGGTGTGCCTTCTCACAACCTAAACCTAGCGATGACTGGAGAAGGACCTCGATCTTTTATACTTTCACTAAGATTGGAGACAAAAATTGCAAGGTTATAATAGACAGTGGAAGTTGTATTAACGCCGTATCTTCTGCCATGATTTCGAAGCTTCAATTGAAAACCACACCGCATCCGAACCCCTACAAAGTCGCCTAGATCAACTCGACCACCTTGGAGGTGAAAGATAGGAGTCTCGTTCTTATTGAATTGATTGGATATAAAGAGAAAATCTGGTGCGATGTTTTGACAATGGATCTGGGTCAAATCATCCTAGGCCGCCCTTGGTTCTTCGACAACAATGTACACATTTATGGCCGATTGAACACCTGTGTGTTTGAACACGAGGGCAGGAAGATTAAACTCTTACCAACTCAACCTTAATCTACCAAGGAAGAAGTTAAGCCCAGCTCCCTGAAACCCAACACGGGCTTGAATTTATTAACTGCTAAAGATCTCGATATGGAACTAGAGTCGGGAGCCCCTCTTTACGCGTTAGTAGCCCGAGAAGTGAATATAGATCAAGAAGAACCAATCCCTGAGGAAGTAATACCACTTTTGAAAACTTTTTCTGATGTCTTCCCTGAAGATTTTCCCTACCAACTACCACCTCTAAGGGACATTCAACACGCTATTGACTTAGTACCTGGAGCCTCCTTGCCAAACCTACCCCACTACCGAATGAACCCAACTGAACACGAAGAGCTCAAAAAGCAAGTGAACGAGTTGCTACAACGGGGATTCATTAAGGAAAGTCTTAGCCCGTGTGCTGTCCCCGCCCTTCTTACCCCTAAGAAGGATGGGTCATGGAGAATGTGTGTTGATAGCCGTGTTATTAACAAAATCACAGTCAAGTACCACTTTCCTATCCCTCGTTTAGATGACATGCTTGACATGATGACTGGAGCCACGCTCTTTTCAAAAATAGATCTTAAAAGTGGTTACCACCAGATTAGGATACGCCTAGGAGACGAATGGAAGATCGCATTTAAGACCAAAGATGGGTTGTACGAATGGACTGTAATGCCTTTTGGATTGAGTAACGCACCTAGCACTTTTATGAGAGTAATGACTCAGATCCTTAGGCCCTTCATTGGAAAATTTGTTGTAGTATACTTCGATGATATCCTGATCTACAGTCGTTCGATGGAGCAGCATTTGAATCATCTAAAATAAGTCTGTGAAATTTTGAAGGAGGAACAAATGTATGCCAATCCTAAGAAGTGCACTTTCCTAACAAATCAGGTAACATTTCTTGGATTTATTATTTCGTCCCAAGGCATATCTGCTGACCCCGAAAAGGTGCGAGCAATAAATGAATGGCCTGAACCTAAGAATATTAGAGATGTCAGGAGTTTTCACGGACTGGCCACATTTTATAGAAGATTTATCAGAAATTTTAGCACCATAGTGGGTCTCATAACTGATTGTTTGAAGAAAGGGGAATTAACCTGGACGACATCGGCCACCAAGGCTTTTGAGGAGATAAAACGGAAAATGGTTGAAGCGCCAGTCATGCGTCTACCCGACTTTTCGAAAGTTTTTGAAGTAACTTGCGACGCATCTGGCATAGGAATAGGAGGAGTATTATCACAAGAAGGACACCCGATTGCCTACTACAGTGAGAAGTTAAATGACATCAGGCAACGATTCTCCACCTAAGATAAGGAATTTTACGCCATAATTCAGTCCCTCAGATACTGGAGACATTACCTACTTCCTCAAGAATTTGTTATCTTTTCAGACCATGAAGCATTACGATATATCAATTCACAGAAGAAACTGAATGCCTGATATGGAAGATGGGTTGAATTCCTGCAAGAATACTCGTATACCATTAGACATAAAGCAGGATCGGAAAATAAGGCTGCTGATGCCTTAAGCCATCGAATGATGATTACCAGGGAGATGACTACGGAAGTAATAGGTTTCGAGCAACTTAAGGAAGACTACCCTGACTGTCCCGATTTTGGAGAAACCTACTCTAAGTTAGCGACTGGAGATGAACGTATCGTAGGGGATTTTATGCTGGAAGATGGATACTTATTTAAATCCCAAAAACTCTGTATTCCCAAAACTTCACTTCGAGAGTTTCTTGTCTGGGAATTACATGCTGGAGGTCTAGCGGGTCACTTCGGACAAGCTAAGACCATTGTAGCTGTTGAGAATCGATTTTACTGGCCTAGTCTTAAGAGGGACGTTAGTAGATTAGTAAGGCGGTGTCACACCTGTCAGTTGGCCAAACAACGGAAACAAAACATCGGCCTTTACACACCTCTCCCCGTGCCTAACCAACCCTGGCAGGACGTCAGCATGGACTTTATTTTAGGGTTACCCAAGACCGTTAGGAAACATGACTCAGTATGTGTAGTTGTAGATATGTTTTCTAAGATGGCCCATTTTCTCCCGTGCTCCAAAACTTTTGATGCCTCTAGAGTACCCAAACTGTACTTTGATGAAATTATGAGACTTCACGGGCTGCCTAAAACCATTGTGTCTGACCGAGATGTAAAATTTATAAGTTATTTTTGGAAGACATTATGGCATAAAATGGGGACCAAACTGCAATTCTCTACCGCCTTTCACCCCCAAACCGACGGTCAAACCGAAGTGGTGAATAGGAGCTTAGGAAATCTTTTAAGGACATTGGTAGGAGAAAACATTCGGGACTGGGACTCTAAGTTGTCTATAGCTGAATTTGCCTACAATAACTCTTTGAACCGAACTACGGGTTTAAGCCCTGCTGAAATAGTGTACGGATACCTCCCCAACCAACCCATTGAATTGATTCCCATGAGCACTAGAGTTAGAACATCTGGTCAGCATCATCATTTGCATCGCATCTATAGGAGTAACATAAAAAAATTAAAAAGAAAATTGAACAAAGTAATGCAAATTATAAATTTATGGCTGATCATAAAAGAAGAGCTAAAGAATTCGAAACTGGAGACTTTGTAATGGTACGGATCCGTCTGGAGCGTTTTCCTCCAGGATCAGCAAAAAAGTTGCATGCGAGAAGCGCCAGACCGTTCAAGATAATTTCCAAGGTGAATAACAATGCTAATGTACTAGACC